TTGGATGTAAACTCAAGCGAAAATATCACTTCGAATGAAAAACAAAATTACTGCTTTGATTTGAAGAATTTTTACTATTCACAATAAAAATAGTTTTGTTTGATATTCGAAAATGTTCAATCACAGATTTTATTGTCGAAAATATGACTTGCTTGTTTTTCTTTCCAAAGTGCTCTATAAATCAAGGAATGCCAAGAAAGTCGATGAAATAAAAGTTGCTGCAAAAAAGTTAGTAAACCTAAATGTATGTATCTATATAAAATAATAAAACTTCCTACTGAGTAACTTACTAGCCGAAAATGAATCTTTCTGCGCCTAAAGATAGGCCATACTAACTTCATATATGCACATTATCACGCATTACAGCCAATATGGAAGTTTGTCGGTAAACGCCGATATTTGACTGCTTTATAATAATTAATTTCACAGTGGCTATTAAGACGAGCTGCACCTTTATTTGCTTGCCAAACATGTTTGTAATTCTCAATTAGCTTATAAAATTCTTAAAACACATACCTTGCGCATCGATGGAAAATTAAAGTTACCACAAAACTCGACACAAAGGCGAATTAATATGAGTTGATAGCAGGAGTACAAAAACAAAAATTTGCAAGTATGCTGCTTTTGCTTTGGCGGCATAAACTGTCAAAATCTGTAACAAAATTTTTCAATTTGACATTAGTAGCCCTGCGGCGAAACACATACACAAAATCAGCTGATCTAAATAGTAACACCACCTTTTATAAATTCGCTTTGCTCGTCACTTTTCATTTCCAATTTTAATTTTTTTCCGAAGAACGTTAAATAATAGAAGTTATCGAAAATTTAAAGAATATGTAAATATATTTTGGCGGCCCATTTTTAAAGGTTTAACTTTCTACTCTCAAAAGAAAGCCGCCTAGAAATTCTCTATGAAATGTCCTTAGTCTGCATGGTACCTGGCATGTTCTCCTTAATAGAGTTTGTTTTAAGAGTGCCAAAATGGGCTATACATAGCATAGAGAAACTGAAGCTATGTATACAGATTCTTCTGGCGCTGAAAAAGTTTTCTTCACCAAAATTATTTGTAAATCTTATCTCATTGGTCATTTATGTGTCTGGACAATTATGGCCCTATACGCAAAGACTTTCGCTTTCAAAGAATATCGAATGTTGACCTCCGTAGCTGAGAGAGCTCGAAGGTGATATAAGACCGCAAATTATATGGAACGTATTACCAACACCAGACTCCTTCAAGGGAGAAATGGAAAACAGTTGAGGCCACGTAAGAAACATCAATCTATGTCTGCACGGATGAATCAAAGTTTGATCAAAAGGTAATGGTAAATATTATGCGATTTTTAAGAAATTCGGATAGTATCTTACTTTGAAACAGAAAAATGCAAATCTCCAAAAAAAAAATCGGCCCACTTCTACGTCCGCCAGCCAATATAAAAACCAAATTTCATAAAAACCGTACAATATCTAACAGATGTGGGCAAATCCCACGAGTTGTTATATTTTGTGGTGGCACACTTATTTTAGACCGTGAATTATCTTCAGTTTTGCAGAAAGAACAAGATTCCATCTTCAAGTTATATTTAAATGAAAACTTAAAAAAGATATACTAACAAAAGTCAAAATAACAACTCGCGCTCTTATACCCGTAGGTGTGTATCTAATGCCGATTTCGCTTCTACCGAAAAATGCAACCTTCTCTTCGCCATTTATGCACAAACACTAAGAAGAGGGCGATGAGAAGGCAACTCTGTTTTGCAGAAACGAAAACGCCATAACTTATACGCCTCGTAACACTATGCACAGTCAACTAACACGTTTACTCGCGTGCCTTAAGTCCCCTTTCAGACACGTCAAGTCTTGCTTTCAAGTCTGCTCGTTCGTTGGTGAAGGAGGTGGGAAGAGAGGGGGAGAGTACAGACTCCTCCGTACCGTCAATTCGTTTCAAGTTTTCTTGTTCTCTTTTGATCTTTTCGTTGCTTCCCATTTAAAGAACCAGAACTTGAATTGAATTAAAGTTGACGCGTGTGGAAGCAAATAGAAAACACAAAAGAGAATGCGAAAAAACTTGCTTTCAAGACTTGACGTGTCTGAAAGGGGACTAACTCAAAAGTCTTATTATTTAAAAGGAAATAAATATTGGCGTGAAATATTTTTTACAGTATTCTTCACGAATATATACGTATATATATTTATTTCTTCGTGCATATAACAATTTCCAATGTGCCAATAAAGATTATAAAATCAAATTTTTTCGCAAATCATCGCCATCTTATAATCAATGTAGTTCTTTTTTAATTTGGTGGCACACTAGGCTTGTTGTTAGGATGTTGGAAAAATCGTTAAATGTCAGAAATTACAAAGTAGCTGCGGCAGATGTTCTGCCTGCTGGATTTTTTATTTTTTTTTATGACTTTTTTGAAACTTCACTGATATATGAAATACAGCAGCCAACCAGTGGTTGGCAATCACCAACTTGCACGACGTCTAATATGAACATTCTATTTGAAAACTTCCCAAAGTTATTAAAAAAAAAATTATGTTTTTTCGAGTGGCAATAAAAAAATTAGTAATTTCGGTACTTCTTCGCCCAATCAAAAATTCATTCCTAGCCAAAAACACTACACTTACATATCGAATTCCCCTACTACTTTTCCCGGCACATTTCGAGACATTTCAATCTTGGATTTTCTGCCACCCTCGGACGACTGTGCGGCTTTCTTAAAATGGGTGTCCGAAACCTTCCCGCTCACATATAGCCGATTTTTATGTTATGGTAAAACAGCTGATTATCGAAACAGAGGGCGGCCGCTGTGGCGTAGTGGTTAGCAGTGCGCGCTACCATTCCGCAGGGACTGCATTCAAGCCCGGTTCAACCTAATATCAAAAAAAAAAAAAATACCCGATTGTATTTCGGCCTAGAAAAGCCGCTTCTTATAAAAATACTAGCGCCGCACAGTGGCCGGAGAAACCATGTTTTACGCGAAAAACGCATATTTTAAATCTATGATAAATTAACCGGAATAAAGTTATTCTTATTCAAAAATGTGCAACGAACTCAAAAGTGATTAGTATTTTCAAGAATATCTGCTGAGAAAGCCGTTGAATACGCATACTCGCGCCAAAAAGAGTGACGGCCATTTTTATTTCACTAGACCAACTTTAGCAGTTTTTCCAAATAACATAAAGTGTATTAAAATATTAAAAATTTATGTAATTTTTTATATATTTAGCATCATATCATTTATAAGATGCGTCTTAACGAAGCCGAAGTAAATTTATAAAAATCCAATAACGAATATGGCGTCGAAGAATTTAAAAATTACTGAATTTTCATGAAATATGGTATTTAGAGGTTCACAAAAATTCACTCATTACAAATTTCAAACAAGTTTTTGAAAATTCAAAATGCAAAATCCAATATGGCATCCGAAATGTTTAAAAATTCATACCTGAAGAACTTTATTTAAAAATACGAAAACGGCATAAAACTGTTGGTGCACTCAAACTCAAGGCGCACACTAACACATGTGTAAGCGCCAATCTATTATTATTATTATTATGGGGACTTTGAGGGTTTCACACAACTCTGCCTCTAAGAGATTTCCATCAGGCCGACTGCCGCCTAAATCAGCCTGAAGCGAAACGAAAATCAATTTAATTTTTCAATATACTGAAAATTGAAATTTTTTCGTGACAAATTTTAATGAGAACAGCTAGTGGCGATATCCATACTGTGTGCCGTTTTGCGAACCCATTTAATAATATCACTCAATCTGCACTTTTTTCACTCCAAATATCAGAATAACGAATTATTCATAAGTCCATGGAACATAAAGCGGTTTCACCAACTTCATCACACTATAACCGTTGACATTTGAACATTATGAATGCATTAGACGTAGACAAAGCAAGAAAGGACATTTTCAAATGGCTAAAACGGGCGTAGAGCAAAAAATGCAAAAGTAAAAAGGAAAAATGTGAATTAAAATTATAATGCAAAAAGCCCAAATATATGCAATGTAATGTAATTAGTATGTTATTTATGTTAGCATATTAATATATAGATGTCTACATTAGACCATACCACCTTACAAGCAAACAAAAAAATAAAAATAAATTATTTTGCAAGACATTTATAAAAAAGAATGTTACACGCGACAATAAAATTTTTTTAATACTCTAATAATCAAAATAAATTCCTTAAGCAATCGTATAATGATTTGTGGGCGGCTTTAATGTACTGGCATTGTTTATTTATTTATTTAATATATGGTCTACGAACAAACACACTACTAAAAAAATTGAATAAGATAATCTAAAAAATTTCAAAAGATCAATGAAAACATCTTTACACAAAGACAAAGAGAAAGATGAGATCTGGTTAAATTGTTTAAGAGCGCGAGCAATTGATGCATTTCACGCATAGTTTAATTTCTATTAATGCCATGAAAAGGGTAAAAATTTCGAAGTTCTCTTCTTGGAACGTTAAAATTTATTATCCCAAGAAGGGCAGCACAACCAAAATCTCCCTGGGCAATGCCATAAATAAAAGTTAAATAAAGAATTTACCATCTGGTTTGTAAAGATTTAAGACTTAAAAGAGGTATAGGAGCATTATATGATGGAAGAGGATCAGTGAATTGTAAGGAACACTTTTTAAATTCGCTCAATCCTGTTGATTGAAAATTGTTGAAAGGCATTTCAGGCTGATAAGAACTGCGATCTGTTTTTTAAGTACCAGAACGGCATACTTAATGAAGTCAATGAACTATAGTAAAATTGTCTCCTCCAGGCAAGAATAATGATATATCGTACTTTAAGATCTGACTATAAATGCCGAAGATAGAAGCGACAAATTTTTTTTTTAGACTCAGGGGCTATGGCGAACATTTTTTTTGGTGCGGTCTAATGTGCATATATACTATATGTGCGTGAATGGGTGGGTGTATGTATGTATGCTTAAATATGTGTGCGTAATTTTACATGAAAGCACGCATTACCATTTTGACTGACAAGTAGGACGAGTAAATGTAATAGAAATAATAAATCCATTGCTGTTGTTGTTGTTGTTGTTTCGCTTATTATTCTAACACCCGTACTGTTATGTTGTTTTTCTCGCTGTTTTATATATTTTATATCTACTTATCTGCTTGTTGTTGTTGTTTCTTTTGTTGTGGTTGTCACATTAAACGTAATCCACTAAACTACGCGCTTCGGGTTTGTGTTGCGCTCTGCTGGAACCAAGTTTGCTGGCCAGTAATGGCCTATGCTGATGTGTTGCTAAATTATCCTTTTCAATTTGTACGTAATCCTTTATGGACAATTACATAAATCCATGTTGTATACGTTGCTTATTGCCGCCGAATGGTTTGTGGAGCACATACTTACACACATATGTACATAAATTCATAGCACTGGTGGAGAGAAAATGTTTTTCACTGTTATTATGTACAACTTTTTAATGTTTTACATATCTGGTGTAAGACATTTTCTTTTAGACGCTGTTTACACGAGGCAACTTATAAATTATAGGAGCGAGAGCCACGGGGTAAATAGAGGTTGCCGAGTCGGTAGTGTTCGGACAACAGGCTTTCAGCTCTCCAGCGTTGCCGCGAGTAAACCCCGTGTTACGAAATTATTTAAAATTTTAAATTTTTTGTTTCAATTAGAAATTTTGTACGCTTTTATTCGCTTTATTTTATATTATTTCAGTTTATTTTATATTTCATTTCACTGCATTTTATTTTATTTTGTTTCATGTTATTTCCTTTTTAACGTTATTTTTATTCTCTTAATTTATATTGTTTTAATTTATTATTATTTTTTAATTATGTATTATATTTCATTTCATTCTATTTTATTTTGTTAAACGTGGTTTGAGCTCTCTTGCGTCGCCGCGTGTAAACTCCTGGTTAGGCATTTCATTTTATATTATTCTACTTTATTTAATTGTTTTTTTTTTTTTTAATTAATATACTTCATTTCACTTAATTGTATTTTATTTTAATCTTTATTTTTTTTTTATTTGGTTTTACTTTATTTAATTTAACTTAATTTACTTCAATTTAATTTAATATAATTTAGTTTAATTTAATTTAATTTAGTTCAATTTAATTTAATTTAATTGAAATTCATACTCCGCTGCAAACGGGAGGACGGTTGTCTACTGAGGACACCCGAATGAAATGCCCCCACAAAAGAGCAGCCCCAAGGCTCTAGCAGCGCGCTCCTGCATCTGAAGACATGCAGAATTGCGGTGCCAGATGCGGGATTTTGCGCGGGCGGTGGGAGTTTGGGTTTTAGAAGGTAGCCCAACACACTTCGGAAGGTAATATAGAGACTAGCGCCCCCGGCAAGTACATAAAGCATTTCCCTCTCCTACGAACAAAAAAAAATTAATTTAGTTTAATATTGTATTATTTTATTTTATTTTATTTTATTTTATTTTACTTTATTTTATTTGATTTTATTTTATTTTATTTTATTTTATTTTATTTTAATTTATTTTATTTTACATATTTTATTGAACTAAATTTTTTTATTTCCTAGTCATGCTGTTTGCTTGGATTTGTCGGCAGCCTGAGTGATCTTTTCCATTGTAGCGTTTGCCTTACCTTCAATGTCACAACATGCTCGTGGACAACAAATATCACCGAACTAAAGGAGACTTACTTTCGCTCGACTCAAAAGAAAAGCTGCGAAAAAGAAACTTAAGGATGTCATTTTAGCCAGTAAAAAGCAAAATTTGAAGATCTGCAAAAGGATATTAATAAATAGACCTGAGCTTTGGATATCAAGTAGTCATGCAAGAAACTGATTTATAATAGCTAAGCCGAACGAAAAACGAGTCATATAGTCAGCAAGCTATTTCCTACACCCGATGTATTTATTGAAGAATCTGCAGGAATTACTCCACCGAAGATATTCTTCTCTCTATCCCAAGCAAGTTGAAACGATAACTCCCCAGTTTCGGATCATGTGTCTGGAGAGGTGATAAAGAATACATATAGCCTCTAAGCAACCGGAGCTATACCTAAACGGATTCTGAACATGCTTGACCGCAGGGTTTCTTTCTTCCGGCATATGGAATATGCATCAGCGTGTACGGATCAGTACAGAAAAGGAGAACGGTAAAAGTAAAGGTAAAGGTAATGATTATTAACTTGAGAACAAAAAAAAACTATCTCCCCGAGGCAAGAACATCGATATATCATACTTAAAGATCTGACAGTGGATCTGCAGCTAACATAAGGAACAACTGGAGGTCACTTATGCGTAATAATGTCGGAACGAAAGTAATGATATCATATTAAGAGGGGAGAAAATCTTCACACCCCTCTATAGGAATAAACTGACGTATTTGCAATCCTCAGGGCAAAATAAAAAAGGTGGAAAATAGATGGAGAGTTTGCATGTCTGTATTGACAGCCAAGCTGCACTCAAGTCTTTGGCCAACCCTCTAACTACTTCCGAAGTAGTTCAGCAATTCAGGTCTCGTTTAAATTGTGCTGGAAAACATAACGAACTTGTTTTTAATTGGGTGCGAGGACGGTCGGATGTAAATGTTAATGAGACCTCTGACTATTTGACTAGAAAAGTTTGAGGCCAGGTATTCCTTGGTGCGCAACGGGTCAGTGTACTACAACCGTTGGCCAATGAAGCCACCATCTTCAATCTACCGATCTCAGAAGCTCACCTATTGAGGTATTTACTCTCATTGATCAGATGGATCCGCATACCGCACATAGGGTTGTTGACTGGTCACTTTCTGCAGAGGATCTAACCACTTGGTAATACAAGGTTTAGGCCCCACGCTCGCTGAGTAGACTACTAGTAGATGCATGGATACGAAAACTCCCAATAGTGCACTGTTTTCTGTTTGGGCGTCAGAACCGAATCGGCAAGATAGGTGTATGAAACCTTTTCCAAATGAATCCTTGTATATACTGCTATCATCTTTTGAAGCGAGGTCCACGTAGGCCAAGCTTAACAAAGTCCAACGACTAGCATCCGCGTGAGCATTACGGGTTAGATCCAATTAGCGCAGACAACAACATACAGGTAAGCAGCTACATACATAGACAGCCAGTATACTAAGAGCGAAAAGGACTAATATGGACGCAGGTACAACTATCAAAACTTAGTTAATGAGAAATATGGAACGCCACCCTTAAGTAATCCGAAAACGGGACCCATGGCAGGCGCTATTTCCCAACTGGGTCAGGGAGATATTCTTGGGCTCCGAAAATACCGCTACTGTGGTGGCAGCTTTGATGTGCCTTAAGCTAAGTATACTGCTCTCAAGAAATATCTGAAGTAATATTTTTCATTATTTCTGTTGCTTAAACATTTTTTTCCATTTCTTGGCCGTCATTTTATATGAATTTTTCGTTTTTCTTGAGAGCTATATATGTACTAAGCTTTAGGCATTTAAAACCCTTTACCCCCAAAAAAAATATTTTATATAGTTTAATTTTATTGAATTTTATTTCGTTTTATTTCATGTTTAGTTTTGTACATTTGGCATAAATGCAGTTGGGCTCCAAATCTCAAATTAAAAAAAAATTGGAGTCCAACTGCATTTGTTCCGTACATTTTTTACTTCACTTTATATTTTACTTTTGATTTACTGTTCTTCTTCAGCTGAATTTTTTATTTTATGTTGTTTTGTTTGTGTTAATTTTTTTGTGAATATAATAAAAATTAAAATGAGCAAAATTAAAAAATAAATATCACCTATTATTACAATTTTTATTTTATTTTCCATAAATTATTTTTTAATTTATATTGGTTATTTTTTATAATTAATTATTTTTTTTTAATAATTCCTATTACTTATTAGTTTATAATTTTCCTTGTTTAAAATTTTATTTATTACATATATTGTTTTATTTTATATATATATTGTTTTTAATTTTACGATTTTAAACGTTTTTATTTTTATATTATTTAAGTTTTTGATTTTATTTTGTTATTTTTTTTAATTTTCAGCTAAGTTTTGTTTACTTGCTTCTACTTTTTCTAATACAAGTTTTTCTATTGTTAGTTTTGTTGGGTTTATTGTATTTTTTTCTTTTTTTCTTTTATTTTTGGTACTTTTTTTTAATTTTAACTGTTTGTTGTTTTTTATTGTATTTTTGTTGAATTTATCTTATTTTATTTGTTATATATTTTTATGTTTTCACTTTCCTTTTACCTTTTATTTGTTTATCGCCAAAGCACTTTCTCTTTTCTTTGTCCTCCATTTTATTCCGCATAATTCCACTGTTGTCATAGCGCCTCACTGTACTTGATTCATTAAAATTCGGTATAAATACATATTTGTCTCACTGTCGGTAATGGATGCCCGCATGACATCATTCTTTAGCTTTCGTCAATCCGAACACATAATTGCCAAGAAGATAGTGTTGGCACAAAAACACATAGCTCTTTGACGTGGCAAAGTTATGCACTACACAACTACTACACTCACTTCGTTCACCAACGGCACGGCCGCGGCCGTCGACAGGGTGGACTATAGGCCATATTCGAAGCAACAACGCCCACAGCTGTATGCCGCCACTGACGGTGACAACATATCCGAAATGTCCCACCAACTTATTCTTGTCACATGAAATTCCAGTTTCAAACGAATTCGTTAGTACTGGCGCAAAAAATGTTGCATGGAGGCACCCTCTTACATACACACGCGCGCATCAACGACCGGTAGCCGTGTACCGACTCAAGGACTTCACATTCACTGCATCCACACTTGTAATTCATAGAACGAAAAATAAACACCGTTGTATTTTAATCCGATTATACTTTTACGCTTTTACCATTGCACTTGCGCGTCTACGAGTATTCGCTTTCGATTGAGCTTTGGGATCCCAAATGTCATGGCGAGTCGAGAAGTCGCGTCATAGCGCCGCCACAGTTGAGCGATGACTGAATTGTTCAGCTGCCAAGCCAAGGATGCGGATGTTAATGCAGTTGATGGCCAGCACGCACGAGTTGAGATATTTGCCGCACACAAAGCACAGCAGGAGCAGCAGCAGCAGCAGCAAAGGATATGTCCTGTATGTGCTTATATGTATGTACGACGTTCGCTCACACGCTCGGCGTTTGCACGATGCTCAAATGCCAGCAATAACAATGCACCGCAGTTGAATAACCGAACACAAAAAAAAAATCTGATAATCAGCGACACCGATTCCAATACTAGCGACCTAACCAATACATACACACACCGTACATACGCTCAAAATATACGTATGTATATGCCACAGTTGCCGTTAGATATTTTACCAAATTTCGCGCACGCTGTCTCAAAGCACCGCGTTCAAATCTCGGCTGTATCAGAATTTGCACTGAAGTCAATTCGCATCCTGTCGTATCCTTTATTTTGACCAAAAATGTAGTTCATGCAGCTCGTTAAACATGTTGACACACTTTGTGCCGCTCGGCTATGGGCTTGTGTGTGCGTGCGTGAGTGTGTGTGCATGCGTGGCATCATCAGCATCGAATCGAGCATGTTGCATGACACATTGAACTGAGTGCCGCGCGCGAGTCTCGAAATGATGTCATGCGGCGCCAGTGCCGTGCACAAGCGGGTGTGAGTCTGTCTGGCGGCAAGTTGTGTTGCTGGCAACATGTTGCTAAAGGAGCGACAGTTGTGAGGACGAAAGTGTGCGTAAGCGGCAGCTGAGCATGAGCGAACTGCTGCAGATGAGGGTGGTTGCGAGAGTTAGAGTTTACGGGCGTTTGGCGTTTGGCATTGGTGAAACCGAAAGCTGCCTGCTTTATGGCAAGGATATCGACATGAAAGCTGTATAACAGTTCCTGTTTTATTGCAAATATATTTATATATGCCACTTGGCTTGACCATAGATAAAAGCTGTTCAGTATAATAACATTTCCATATCTGTAGTCTGCAAGAAAGCTTTCATTCAAGTCTCATTTTGGCAGGAAATTTCAAGTGCTGGTTATTTTCTTAGTAAAGCTTCAGGTTTAATTGAAACCATCACGTATGTAGAACAGATACATATTCACTTAAGTGCACAAGCAATACAAAAGCACAATCCTTCGAAAGCTTTGTGCAGACTTCCTCATGGCAAAATAACCGCTTTAACTATTTTGGCCGAGTTCAAAAAAAGCCTGCCAGCTCCATAACTGCCGCACCTTCGTGCCGGGACCGCAGCGAAAATTGTACTTTCCATATGTATGACTGTGATACTTGGCGCTGACATTTCCTCCCAAACTCTTTTGAAGCCGCTCGTTTGAAGTCAGCAATACTTCTGAGACTTATAGGTTATAGTAGTTGCCCGATGAAAAAGAGCTCAACCTCTTATTTGTAAGAGTGATTTTTCAAAGCCAACAAAATTTTCCATATGAATGCTGGTCCTTAAAGACTTAACCTCTACTCTCGTTTGCTACCCTTTTTAAAAAATTTTTTGTTAATTTTTGAACAGGTTGCAGCTCCTTCAAAAATATTTTTGAAATAAAACTTTCTTAAACCTCTTCTTTTTGGTACCCATATTAAACGATTTATTTTAACTTGTCAATTAAACTGATTTTAACTTTTTTAACAGGTGGCAACCTTCATAAAGATTATTTTCGTAAAAAATCTTTCTTGGACCGTTTTCGTTCGAGAACTAAATTATTGTGATATTTTATTTAACTTATTAATTGTTAGATTTTAAATTTTTAACAGGCCCCTTGAAATGTATTTTCGAAATTAATCGTTCTTGAACCGCTTTCGTTCGTTACTCACATTGCTGTAATATTTTACTTATTTTATAGTTTATTGATTTTAACTTTTGAAAATTGTGGAAACACTCTTCAAGAAAGATTATATATGTATGTTAATCCAGGCCATAAACTATCAGGATGCCAGATTTCATTGAAATTTGTTATCCGTTTTTTCGTGAATTAGCAACAAACATACTCACACGCTTACTCAGATTTTTTGTATAATGTTAGCCCCCCTTCGACTCATCACTTCTCAGCCCGCTGTGTTGGAGTTCCGCTCGCTTAACGAAAAATTTGTATGTGAAAGCAACAACAAAGTCAGCTAGCAGCGATGAATGTTAGCGAGTTTGATTGTACCTCGTTGATTTCGTCCGTTGCGCCAATCGCTAACTGGTAGTGAACCGATTCACAGTGGTTCAAAACTGGAATTTACTGTTCATAATTCACTGGAGCCTGCATTTTGAGCCAATTTGATAAATTTTTTAAAAGAAAGCTTATAGAATTAACAAGAGACCAGTTGAGCCCGATTTTCTTAATTTCGTTTTATTTATATTAAATTGTTTAATGCAAAGTGCAGAAAAAGGATCAATTTTGAAGAAAATCGATTCTCCTGTTCGAGTTAATAAATGTTACACAAGAAGAATTATTGCTATACAAAAATGTTCAAGAAAATTAAAAAAAAAAAAAATAGTTTTTAGAAAAATTTTAGGTATAAAGTTTTTTAGGTCACTAAATTTTAGTGAAGTCCCAGTTCTAAGTGTCTAAAAGGTCGTGTTGATTTTCGATAATTCTTTTCTATGGCATTTCGAGCACATCTGCATGCTAAAGCTTAAATCCAGCTTTCAAGAATTATTTTTCATTGTTTCTATTGCTTGAAAAAGCTTTGCTTTTGCTGTAAATTTTCTTGAAGAAATAAATCTGTGTTCGCATGGAAAAGTAGCTTATGTCGAAGGGCTGGATTTAGTATAAATCGGCATTCGCAGCATGTGATTGCGAATGATTCACAGGCACTGACCCGTTGAACAACGTTTGGCAAATAAACGTGCCAGAAATAGTTCCGATACTAGCAAGGCAATATTCTTATTAAGTCTCATCGAAAAATTTCTTGTCGTTTAAAGAATAAAGGGAATGCCGCATTATACTAAAGCCAGCCTTTCGACATAAGCTACTTTTCCATGCGAACACAGAAATATACGAGCATTTTCTTTCTTGAGAGCTGCAAACCCATGCGAATTCATATAAGGTGGCAGGGGTAGTACAAAAACAAAACCAATTCACAAATTTCAGCTATTCTTCGCTAAAGGAGAAGTAAAGGATAGTCCATTTTCTTCAAAATTGCTATTTTTCTTCACTTTGCACTGGAAAACTTACAACAAACAAATAAAAAATCCAAAATCGGTCTAAACTGGTATCTTGATAATTTTATAACCTTTCATTAAAAAAACTAATTAATAAAATTGATTGAAAAATTAAATCTCCATTGAATTATGAACAGTAAATGCCAGTTCTGTACCACTGTGCGATGGCAGCTATTAGTAGGATGTTTGTATATAGGCATCTATGTATGTACACACATATATTCAAATATTAATGTTTAGACGAATACACAAATACTAAAATGGTGATATTTTACGCCAAAAGGAGAGTGCACATATCGTACTATATTTGTATCCTAATTTTTATCCTGCTTCTAAAATACAACCAATTTTAGAATAATTCTCACTACGCCTATTACATAAATGTGTGTGATTTATAACTGTCAAAAATCGAGCTTAACCCCATTTGGAAGTACAGCACATTTATAATAATTTCATGTAGGGATTAAAAGTATGGTCGGGCAAATGCAAAATATTGCATTGGAACTTTTGCAGGTAGGCAGTATTTTGCTTGCGATCCACTATTAGGGGGAAAACCAAAGTGTAGTAAATACTGTTTGTGTAAATTTAAGCCTATCGAAATACATTCGCAAATTTGGACATACATACATATGCATGTATTTACGTGTGTGCGAAACTTTCGCAACATTCGCTTTTTTACACAGAGAGATTACTCTGTAATGCGATGCGATAACAAAATTGCGAAAATTCAGAATATTGCCACCCCAAAATGCGACAAGTGCTTTGAAAATTGCCCGTTTAGCAGTAATTTTTTCCCCTTTTGCATTTAAGGCACTCTGTAATGCGTAAACTGCTTCTTCTATCGCAATTTGCATTCGATTGCTGTACAGCTATCGCAATCTACAAATAACTAAAGCGATCTGCTTTGGCAGAAAGTTCCAAGTGCAAATCCCTGATCGCGAAGGTTGGACAAATGGGAATCCTGCCTTTGATCTCGGTATTGATGAATTTCACTACATACATACATATGTCGTGCAAAAATAAATGATGGCATTCTCAAAATTTTCTACTGGAATATGTCTTTAGTCGCACCTTACAAGGGCTAGGCGCTCGCAGAGAAATATTTCAACTGTCTCCTTTAAGCCCAGGTCCTTGCCGCTATTGCAGAACCTGTTGAAAGGTATACCGAACCTTATGGCATGCACGCCCACGGACCAGTGTCTTCCAACTCTATTGAGCTTTGGAATGATAAATTTCGTTTAATCCTCATTTCTGAGGGGAAGGCGGGTTTAATTCCAGCACTGAGCCCGCACTCGTATATTGTCGAATCTTCCCTGATGGCTTCAAGACTGACTCGGGGTAAGGATCTGGAGTATGTTTTGAAGTTAATGGGGATAAGCTTCACTTTTTCTCCTGTGGAATATTATTCGGTCTTTCAGGCTGAGGTATTTGCAATCCCCAAAGCCATGGACTACATGGTGAAAAATAGGTGGAGGGGAAGGAGTTTACGTGTCTACAGCTGCACTTAAGGCATTGGCCAGCCCTCTATCTAAGTACTTCCAAACTAGTTCGGCAATGCAAGTCTCGGCTAAAGTATGTTGGTAAAGATAAACCCCTTGCTTTACTGCGGATGCCGGACAACTCGGAAGTGCCTGAAAATGAGACATCTGACCCTTAGGTCACAGTTGGCTTTGGCTTAGACTAGGCATTCCTCGATCCAAAACCAGTTATAGCCATCCCCACTTCGATCATCGAAGTCACCACCATAAACTGGGTGGATACTTCGCGCAGCAATGACTGGGAGCCATCCAGTGGATGCAGATGGGCAAAACTCATATTGAATTCAATCTCAGAACGTCTATCTAGTTTTTTTCTCTCACTGAGAAGACAGGACTGCTCACTGGTCACTTCACGTGGCACAAACACCTGACTGAGATAGGCGTAAATGACAGCTCCCTTTGCCCATCCTGCTTTGAAGAGGATGAGACGGTGGAACACTTCGTGACCTTCTCGCCTTCTTGTTTGCTTATCATCGATTTATCTAGATTCGGTCTATTCTTTTTTGTCAGTTTCTAATTTGAAGTTTGGCGTAAAAACCTTTGCAGTTTTGTTGTTTCAAGTTTTGTGTTTTAAAAATGGGGGTGACGCCCCTGTTGCGCACTTTCGCTTCCTCTTATAACGAGTTGTCCCTTCTTATTATCTACATACGTTCTTTGGTTAGATTTAATCTTCACTTTTTTTGATGAGCAGTGGGAATATGTTAGAAATGAACATCAGCGGGTCCACCGATACCAGTAAAGTTTTGAGAGGGGTCTACAAGAAAAATTAGTTTGGGAACCTCTGATCTATAGGGTCTTCTATTTTGCAAATATTTTCACACATATTTTTAAACATAAACATATGCCCTGAAATTAACCAAAATTGAGTCATAATTATCAGTTTTCAAAATAATTCGACTCCAGCTCTTGCTGACAATTTAGTTTTTGCAAATATGTACTATATTTGTTTTTTAAAGAACTATTGTGGGTTAAGAACTCGTGTGTCAACTTGGCTCATAAATACGAATTCAAGTGGTATGATGATTTTATACAAAAAATTCACTTTGAGTTCATCAAAAGTTTTCCTTTTTATTTCCTGGAAAATTTTCTAATTTTTCTTTAATTAAGATTAATGAGAACAAATGAAAAATTAACGCAATCTGTCCAGCTAAATATTTGCAAGTAAGGCTCTTACCAACATTTAATTTTAAATGTATGTATATATGTACGTTTTTTGTGTGTGTGTGCATGTAGAAATGCTCGTTTACTTAAAGCTTCGCACATAGAATATAAAAATTCGTAAATAGAAGCCAAGTTAACAAAGCGAAAGTGCTTCGAAATGTATGAATTTGACGATAAGTCAGCCGCGCGGTTAGACAACGAAATTATTTAACAGCTTAGCTGGACTCTGCCTTAGAATGTTAAACATGTCACGGCTTATAATGAAATTTTGGTATTCTACAGATAATTGTAGTCAGTTTAATTGTTATTATTATTATTTTTAGCTATAGGTGCGGTTGTATCTATGTATGTATATATTGACGAGTATCCAATTTGGTAACGATGACGAAATGCCTCACAGGAAGGCTTACATATTTACGTGCGAAGCAAAACAAATTCTATGTACTCAAATTGATATAAATAGCGCTTTGGGCACTAAATTTCAGCATTCCATTTGCAGTTCTCGCACCTGTAATAGCTTCAATCAAGAGTCTAACAAAATGATGAAATTGGTAAGTCTTTTTCTACTTATGAAAGATTTTTGTAAAAAAAAAAAACGTTTTTCTTTACTTTAATCGCATTTTGTTCACCTTGCAGTTCCTTCTCGTTATTGCCGCTCTCTTCGCTGTGGCGATGGCTGTGCCCACACCTGTAGCCGGACCCAATCCCGAGCCCAATCCACAATGGGTTTATGGCGGTTACCCAGCTGTTGCCTCATATCCATACGTGTACTACGGTTAGGATGAAGAGAAAGCGGACTTTCGATTCTTCTTCTTGTTAACTTTGACTCGGTTATGGCTTTGGTACAAGGATTTCTCGGCATGACAATTTCAAATATGGATGTAAAAGCAGTGTTTTAAATTAAGGGTGTCGCGGGTTTTATAGTTTTTTGTTTTTTTTATAAATATTTTGTTAATAAAAATTAATGCATTTAAAAAAAATAGTGTTGCGAAAACTAAGGCTATATTTTACCAAGCTCAAGGGCGCTAGAAAAAAAAAGTAGGCAGGAAATTTTCATTGAGTGGAGAAGTTGAGCTCATGTTTTTATGAGAGTCCGTTCGGTTGCTTCCGTATTTCTTTATGAGTCGCTAATTTAAGGATGAAGGGAAGTTTATTGCGAAAAATACTTCTTACCAACCTGAACATCTAACATCGTTTCATCCCAGAGCAGCATAATAACTCGGGTAAAAAATGGATGCTCACAGAACCAATGAAGATCGAAGATCTATGTACATAACTCGATACCAAGTATATCTTAGAACTCAAGAATATACCCGTTTTGAATCGAAGTCTTACCAACGTTCCTTAGGCTAACCGAGCCTGGAGCAGCGATAGCTTGACTCTATTTAACGATTAACCGAGCACCATTGATGCTCAAACTACGGAGTTAATGTTCAGACGGTGGTTTTAGTGCGCCATCCCTTACCGTACATAGTGAAAATCTTATGGGTGGAATACGTTCCCATTCGAAGCTGTCTTTAAACGGGATGTGAAGTATACACTTATTCCGATAACCAAGCAAGGCATACTCGTCTGTGTACGGAGTGGGCGAACTTTGCGGGCACAATACTGCTGCACTTAGGTATGTATGTGGATGGTGCGATAGCTTTTATGCCGATGGTGGCCGTGCTTTAACTGGTTGCGAACGAAGGAATATTTGGTCTGATCCTTATCTAGCCAAATGGTTAGATTTCTCATTAACAGGTACCCTCCTGTGTTGTAACAACCGAGATGTCTGTTTCCGAAATACTTTAGAAGCAGTAAGAGGGCTGCCCAATATATTTAGCGCAGCTTGACTATCACTACGTAAACTCCTAGCTCTTCTCCCAACATTGACTACGATATCTATGACCTTTTTTATTGCAAATACTTCGACTAGGAATATCGGGAAGATATGCCTCGAAAGAAAAGTTAGGACTGTCTCCGTTACCATCGATATTGACTCCAGATTCTGATCCAGTGTCATTTTCGAGCCATCATAAAGATTTTGCAATGTGTAAAACCGAGTTCGAATTGGGACTAACCTAGCAGCCAGGCGTAGATAAGTCAACATTGTAGTATCTCTTCAGCAAAGACAATGTCGACGTACTATCCTGAATATCCTCTAGATCTTTGCCTCCAGCAAATTCCTCATCCCTCTACACTGCATCTTACCAGCATACATCACTTATAAGGCTATCTGACTTAAAGGGTATCCTCGTCTCCGTGTGTATAGGCATTAAGTGATGGTAGGTACAGCAGTGCATCCAAAGCCACCCGAGGTATTATAAGAAAAGCTCCCATACGAACGCAGGAGGATATAAGCAGCCCGATTCCGACCAATCTCCTCTCCTTGCGCATGCGCTCCCTCACATACACGCTGGAGACTTGTGTGATGGTTAGACCCTCCAGAATCCACGGCGCTGCCACTCCTGGAGTATTTTGACAGTTTTATACCAACTGCCGACGTTCAGTTGAATTTCCGAGGGGGTGTCTCGGGGGTCTTCATCCTGCTATCCTCCGCAGCAACTATCATCTATGTCCCATTGTGAACATCTTGACTGGATGATTAGGAAGGTACAGAAAATCCTTTCTATGTCTTTTGGACGTTCGTAACACTAGCATTTTCTTTCTCCCAACCTACTAAATTTCATTTAAAGTCTGAATAAATATAATTTTTTACTCCTTCATCACCTCTACAGATCCGTAGGTGAAGTGTAATTTTTGGGAAATGAAATTATATGTAGTTACTACAAACGCCATCCTATCCAATACCATCCAATAAAAGGAAGGGCCACATCGTCTGAAAACGCAACTAACCATACGAATATTTCTTCCCCGTTCCATACTAAAGACCCTCGATACGAGTTTCGGGTTTGACTAATTTTATTTTAGGTATAGTTTTGTTAGATTATCTATGCTTCAAGCGTCTATTTCGTTACCATTTATAGATCGCATTAAGAAATCTGCTTATATAAATCAAAAAGAAATTCACCGAATGCATCGTAGAACATCTCGAGTCTCAGCCATTCAGCAATTGTGCGCATAGTAGTGACAAGCCATTTCGGCATTGCCGTTATTTCGCAAACATCCTCGATGACCTGTACGCGCGGCAGAATCTCCGGATGCAATTTAAGCTGCTCGTGCAATTGCAAAGAGTTGATCGTAATGGTGTCCACATAATTATCGAAGAGCATGAAGCATTCGATGTTGAAGCGCACGAAAGCTGCAGCCTGTGGCAGTGGTTTCCAACATAACTCTGGACGTATGTACATCTTAAATTTGTACGTTTCAGCGAGGTCAAAGAAACTATGCAGATCTTCATGGGCCGGCTCTATAGCATCATTTATGCGATCGATAAGCGTCCTAAGACGTACGCCGCTTTGTGTGTGGTATTGATCACTATTTCTTGAGCGTGTAATACCACGACGACGCCGATGCCGTGGCTCCAGCTGCAAATCAAATTGCGGATCTGCGTCAGTGCTGCTTTTGCGTGCCACCAATTCTCTGGTGTTAGGTTTTTGCAATGACACCGATAACGTCAGCTCCTTTCGAAGCGGCTGACAACAGTCACCATTCAGATTTTTCATTATGTTCGGAATAATCGCTGTATTCAGTGTCACCGTCTTAAGATCGATATACTTATTGCCAACAATGGTGGCATACTTTTCGAACACATTGCTGGCGCGCAACTCGGCTAGCTCCTGTTGCGTGATACTGGTCATGCCGAGGTGACATTCATTATTCCGATCGATCACATGCAGTTTGTAGAGATTGTTGTGTTTGCTTGCGGGCGTGATGAGCACCACGACATCCGGTGGCCACTTGTCGCGCTGTAGCTGTTGTATGATTTGATCCAGCGATGTCTCTATACGTTTGCTGCTCGCTTGAGTATCCACTCTCGGTACAGGCTGCACGTCAACGAGACTTTTGATGATGAGCGGTGGCGCGTCGTTGCTGATGATGGCGCTGCGCACGGTGCGCTTCTTTCTTTGACTCCCAGCAGTTTCGCGGCATTGTCGCTCTTTGAGTAATTTTGCGCAGAGATCCCGAATGGTGTCACTCATCGGTGGAATTGGATTGTTCGTTTGTATTGCAGCGAAATCGTGTTTGATTTGAGGGAGGACACAAAACGCCGATGGAATCACTTTTAGAAAGATTGACTTATTTGCAATTAGTGGTTGTTTAGAAATAGGTACACAAAAACAGTACACAAAAAAGACAGAATTTTTCTAAAAGAGCCAAATATCAATACAAAATATTTTTGTATAAAAACATTTTCAAAGTCATCTTTGCGTCTCGTTTTAGAGCTTCAGTGATGAATTTTTAGGGCATTCCATTTAAAAATTTTTTTTGGAAATATTGCTTAAGTACCTCTAGAAGTAGTAGGTATGGATTTCTAGATCTATTAAACCAGTTGAAGTATTTTCGAAACGTATAAAAAATATCTGCTTGTGGAGCTCGAAACTTTTATGTTGCTTGCTTCCAAATTTGGAGTTTTCATATTTATACATACGTCAATTAGTTCCAGAAGCTTATTCGGAACACAGTTGCCATGGCTATAAAAAAAAATCAGATTAAAACCAAATCCGTCGACGCGAAGGTGTCCTGAACTCCTTCTGACCACTGGGGAACAAAGAACGAGGACGCCCTATACATTGGAAAATGACATAAGAAGGCCATTTCGTTTAGACTGCAGACACCACTAAGTCTAAATCTGAAAACGCCATCCTTTGCAATAAAGTGAGAAAAGTCTACTTGAGATAGCTTATAATGGGAGGGCTGCTGATTAAGTTTTAACAAGCGATGGAATATCTGCTCAAAGAACTCAATTAGTTTCGGAGATTTAGATAGTAATCGGGGATCTTCGTGGTCGCCCATCTAGAGCTCAGCATTCCTGCAGCAAGGGTAGCTCGGATGTTATCAAAGAAGTTGCTTTCCTCGCAGTCGCGATTTCTAGATCCCTGTCCAGGTTCTGCTTTACTTAGACACCTATTAGCCCCTTCGGGCATATGTAGCTTTGTCAACAAACTGTGTGTCAAATCACATTCTAAGGCAACTGAATTCTAAGGGATAAAGATATTGTCGGTTGCATGAATTATGAGGAGACAGATTGAATGTCTTTGGACAAAATTATTCAGCCTAGACATAAAAAACTTCGGTATTGCTTCTAGACTTCATTGCGACTTCAATTCTCATATAAAAATTTAAGATTATCGTTAATTTCTTCACGACTCAATTTTCGGATCTAAAGAAAATTGGTATCGGACCACCTTTCCGATGAAAAAAGAATTACTAAAATCGGTTAACTTGGCCCAGATTTATGCGGTAACATACATAGAAATAATTTGAGAGAGAAACGGAATGGGGATGCGCCATTCTCGCTTAAGCGGATAACTTTTCCATCGCGTACAGCGGCAGCTTAACGCCAACTCTGGGCAATTTCGAGATGCTTTAAGATGGTCCACACATTGTGGCCTCTGTCTGGTCAATTCAGAGAAAGTGGAATTTATTCTCTTCACGAGAAGATACAAGATACTTCTACTGACTCCACCGGAGCTAAATGAGCGCCTATTAAGCTTTACGAATAAAGCGAAATTCTTAAGCGCCATTTTCGATAGAATATTCCACCGTTATCAGAAGGCATCTGTGACATTATATTTGTGCGAGATAGCCATTGGTAAGAAATTGGAGTTGAGCCCGAGTACATATATGCCGCTGAATTTATACAGCGGTGGCTAGACTGATACTCCTTTATGAAGTATTATAATATGATGATCTGCCTTGGTTAAGGCTTCTAATCTTAATCTGCTCAGCAAAGTACAGCGGAGTAATCCGGACAAAACCAAATGATGCTTTAAATTTATTTTGTGATCTTCTGTCACTAGATCTATTGGGTCAGCACATGGCATCTCTTGCTGCACTTCGGTTAAGAGAGACAGACAAA